AAACCCTAAACCCTAAACCTTAGCTACTGAGGTACCAGTAGGAATGAAGAGCCAAGGCGAGGAGAAGAGCGCTTGCTGGCTCAAAGTCTGCATTCGTCAATTTTACCCGCGGCAGGTTGTATTCAAACAGGCGACACCCTCATGGAGGTCTCATAAGAACCTCAAGTCTTTGAGAGCTTTTCTTGTTGTAGGGTTTAGGTTCTGCGGTATAGCGCTGAGGTAGGGGGCTTTTTGTTGCCGCGGGGCATGGCGTCGTCGGCCCGCCTGGCTTACGAAGGTCGTTTGGATGGACACCGGGCTGGCATCACCGCCCTGTCTTTCTCCGAGGTGTGGGATGGGGGCTCGCTTTAGTGGCCGGGGTTCAGGGTTTTAGGGTTTCCTTGTTTAGGAGTGTGGAGTTTTCCCTGAGGACGGCAAGAAGCTCTTGACCGCGTCGAACGACCGGACGCTTCGTGTCTGGGAGGTGCACGACGACACTGCAGAGGGCTTCTTGTTCAAGAAGGCTCCCGTGGCCTCCACGAAGAAAACCCTTCGAGGGCATAGCGACGTCGTGTCCCAGGCCATACTGGAAACTGGGTCCTGGGTTATTGCTAAAGCAAAGTAGTGCCAATTGTTATGATATATATATATATATATACATATTATGATAAGGAAAGCCTACTGCTAGTACCATCACGGTAGCGTAGTGAACTTGCGGAAGATTCACCCAGGAAAGCGGAGGAAACTTCGTGCTCTCCAGTTCCTGGGACCGGACTGTCAAGTTCTGGACCCTGGATGAAGAAGAAGACGAACCTTGTATTCGCACGTTTCGCGGCCACGAGCACCAGGTGAATGCTGTCGTGTGGTCGCCCGACCACCGACAAATCCTCACAGCCTCTTGCGACAGAACAATCAAGTTGTGGAACAACCTGGGAGAATGCAAGTACACCATTCGTTACTGGGTTTTGGAGTACCATACTTGAATACTTTTTTGGGGGACCTGTTCCTTAAAGGAACCATTATGAAATAGAAGTCTATACTTTTTTCTCCCTGGTTACTTCAAAGCCCAGGTTATGATGACTGCCACAAGGACTGGGTCACGGCTGTGGCCTGGGGCGCCAAGGCAGAGTCGTTCCTCTCCGAAAAGGCACAGTCGTTCCTCTCCGCCAGCTGGGACAAAACGGTGAAGCTTTGGAACGCCAAGAACATGAAAATGCTGTGGGAAACGAAAGCTCCTGAGTAGTAGAGGAAGCAATTTTCGGGTTCAGCAAGTAGGGCTTTAGGGTTTTGGGTAGTAAGCTTTGACCTCTTTGAAGACCAGCTGCAAAAAAAAACCATGACCTCTTTGGGGTACCATAAGCGCTATACCTAAACCCAAAACCCTACAACATGTTCATTCCTTCTAGGCAACTGGAGAGAAGTAAGGCTCACACTGCACCGGTGCTCGCCGTTGCCGTCGCCCCGGATGGCTCCACCGGCGCCTCAGGGGGAGCTGACCGTACCATCCTCCTTCTGAACTTAAAGGAGATGCTGGGTTTTGGAGTACCATACTTGAATACATTTTTTGGGTTTTGTTCCTTCCAGGAACCATAATGAAAGGAAGTCTCTACTTTCTTCCCCTTGGTTATTTCAAAGTTAAGGAGGTGTGTCGACTATGCCTTCCGAGTCGATGGGATCATCCGTGGGCTGGACTTTAACCCCCTTGAGGAGCAGCTGGCAGCAACTGGGCCGTTCCTAGAGAAGTGAGCTTCAGTTGCTCTACCGGGGCTGTACAGTGGCAAGATCATGTTCTATTGATTAGAGTAGATGACAAATAATGAAGTTCAGGGTTCGATGATACATCTATAAGTATGTTAGTTTTCTCAAAGACCCTAAACCCAAGGCCATCACCGAGATGTCGCCAACGTCGCCAAGTGGAAGAGTGCATGTCTTTGATCTCTCGACGAAGACTTGCCTGCTGAGCCTCAACCCACCCGGTGAGGGCCTTGCCGGCTTAGCCGTGGCTCGCCCAGGGTTTAGGGTTTAGGGGCCCAGTAGTGCGCCCCCAAATTCTGCCCTCGTTACTTTGGGTGTGCTCCTGTGTAAGAACCTTATAAACCAGTGAAACAACTGTGTAAGAACCTTATAAACCGGCGAAACAACTTGTGAAGCCCTGAAACAAGCAGCTGTAAACCCTAAACCCTAAACCCTAAACCCTAAACCCTAAACCCTAAACCCTAAACCCTAAACCCTAACCCGAAACCCTAAACCGTCAGGTGAAGTGGCATCCGCAAGGCCGACGCCTCTTCGGAGGCTTCTCCGATGGCTCCGTTCACGTGTGGCGCAGCAGTTGAGATTCCTATAGCGGTTTAGGGCTTAGGGTTTAG